TTCTTGAACCTCGGTTCACCGTAAATAAATGACTTTGTTTACCGCTACACTTTTGTCCTTAATGATTATAGAAAAATAAAGCTGAATCGTTCTTGAAAGTTGAAAGTATACGTCCAACAATACCAGTTATTGAAAAACCAATTAAATAAACTTCTTTATCCATTTTTTATAATCGATTTTGTCTATTTAAAAAAGTACTCAGTTACGAAATAATTTAAAGAAGAATGAATGTCGGTCAACAAATAATTGGACATATAACACATAAAAAAGAATTTTAATTAGCAAATTAAGATACAATAGTATTAGAAATTTGAGAGTCAAATAAAAGCATCTGTGAAACCAAATAAAATTTAGAATACCTAAAATTAGGAAAATTTGAAAAAATCAATTTTATACAAGAAAATGATTTGGCCTAGCTGTTTTGATGAACCATTAAAGAGATAAAATTCTAAACTCAAAAAAACCAGCTTTCCCGTGTTAATCTTACGGGAAATTGAAATTTATCATGCGAGAGTTCTTAATATTAATATTAAGGGCTGTGGCTTTCACAGGATTTTTTTTTCATCATTTCCAACAATATTTTCGTTAAATTTAAGAAAAAAAAAAAATAGTCGATTTTTTTTAATCAGCCTAATATATATACATATATAAACTTTTGAACCATACACGGAAAAAAATTAACTGTTGCTGCAACAGGAGAAAATCCTGTTGCAGCAACAGGATTTCCTGCAGCTGCAACATGACTGCCTCCTGTTGCAACAACAGGAAAAAATCCTGTTACAGCAACAGGAGGCAGCCATGTTGCAGCAACAGGATAAAGTCCTGTTGCAGCAACAGGATTACTACTGTTGTTGCGACTTAATAATAAAATATAGTTGGGTCATTCCATGTCAAATTGACCTACAGTTGGAATTGACCCCTTTTGATATGGGTAAATTTTGGTCAGAAATTTTCTTTTATCATATAACGAACTTCTGATTATTTCTGATTTTTATTGGAAATTTATATTTGTTTGAGTTATTTGACGATAAAAACTGTTATTGAAGTGAAGAAACGGACAAAATATATCATGCGTTAAAAAAAATAAAAAAATTATATCATGCGTTAAGCCTGACTTTAAGATTACTTCAAAAAAATAAAAAAAAGTTAAAATTATTTTATTATTTAATATTTCCACGTCGTACATTTAATTTTTTAATACTCAAAATTACAATAATATGTATCTGCATAACTTTACCTTATTTAAAAGTTGCAAAAAACAAGAAAAAATTTTTTTTTTAAATTCAAAAATTCATATTAAAAAAAAAAAAAGTTCTCAAAATTTCAGAGTCTATTAAGATCAGTACAAGGTACTAAATAAAAAAAAAAATTGAGTCAAAATTTTAATGTCAATCGACATTTTTGACGATTTTCAAAAATTTAAGATTAGACAAATTTGGCATTTTTCAAAATATTTTTTTTCGATAGCCCCAAGTATCCCCTTTCAAACAAACGAAAGGTTATTCCTGTATCTATAATAGCGTTCGCGATATTCCAAAAACAAGATTGAAAAACTGAAAAAATAGCGAAATTTTGAGTTTGCATATCTTTTGAATAAAATTTTTTAATTTTTTTTCGTCTGGCAGAAGTTCGTTATATGATAAAAGAAAATTTCTGACCAAAATTTATCCATATCAAAAGGGGTCAATTCCAACTGTAGGTCAATTTGACATGGAATGACCCAACTATATTTTATTATTAAGTCGCCACAACAGTAGTAATCCTGTTGCTGCAACAAGAGGCAGTCATGTTGCAGCCACAGGAAAATCCTGTTACTGCAACAGTATTTTTTCCTGTTGCTGCAACATGACTGCCTCCTGTTGCAGCAACAGTTTATTTTTTTCCGTATATGTATTTTCTGACTCAGCTCGTCGAGTTAAGTCAGAATATAGCAAAATTTTGCAAAAGTTTCGTCATGAGGACCATTGCAATAGTTAGATTTCTATGAAATCTACTAAAAATTAGTTTTATTTATTGTTCCAGTATTGGGTCAACCATATTCCGGTATTGGGACTAGGCATTTAAGGTGTTCCGATACTGGGTCTTTTAGACTTTTTCAAAAAACATGTTTTTTTTAATATTACATTCGACAAAATTGATAAATTTAATTATTTTTGTGTAACTACATGTTTATTGTATATGATTGGATGAATTATTATTACTAATGAACCATTTGAATACTTTCTAAGTAATAAAAACCAGTCATGTACCCTTCGTCGTTCCGGTATTGGGTCTTTTACCTTATTAGGAGTTTTATTAGAGTAAAATTCTACTATAATATTTTCAGCTAATCTTCAAGCTTAAATTTATTGATTCACAGTTAATTTCTTGAATTAAAAAAATTGGATACTTTAAATAGAGAAAAATTTTGAGAGGGAAATGGTTTATTTTAACTAAAAAAATTCTTATTTGTGAATATAATCACAATTATAATTGATGCCACGTGGCTAATGAGAGTTAACTTGTTTTTTTTTCATACTACTTTCACATGCAAACAATTTAGGATAAGTCATTGCTGGAGGCGTCGGTAGAAAGTGACAACCAATGACCGATATTTAAAAAATAAAACTCATTTTATTTCGACGATAAAAAAGTGCCGATTCTTTACTTATATTTACTTATTTTTTTATCATTTCGAATTTTATTTAAAAAAAAAATGCAAATTTACGGCTATTAAGATGTCACATTTATGAAATTTCTCGCAATATATGTTACCAAGTAGGTGAAAATGAACTTGACTTATTGAAATCAAAGGTCACATAAAATACGGCCTCAAACTAAAAACAGAAATATAAACTCGAATTATTGAGCCGTTAATTGATGTTTACTCTGGTTATTAATTAATTTATCGGTCGAGTTATTCATCTGTTGATTTATTTGTTCATTAATTTTTAATTACAACTTGAAATTTCAGTAAATTTATTTATCAATTTCGTGAGTCACTCGTCTACTGAAAGTATCAGGCAGATTGGAAAAAATATTTTTATAATCAATATAGTAATCCTTTTTAAGCGATAAGAATAATCGATTTTATAAAAACTTTTACGATTGTGATAAAACTCTTTATTCGTCACATTAATGTCTTGGAGAATCAAATGCTGTCATTGCATTGGGAAGTTTATCTAATGTGAAAATGTCATTAGAGATATGAAATGTATATAAATTATCTAAGAAATGACTCTAATTGATAATATTTAGATTAACTTAACGTTTAATGAAGCTTAGATTAACAGAACTATATTTTCTCAAAACTGATGACTAAATCTAACAGATAACTGGAGCCGTAATAACATTAACTAAAAAAAAAAAAGAAACATTTTTAGATATTGTAGATTAGCTATAAATTTCTTTTTTTGTAATTCTTGAACAATGGATAAGAACAATTTTTAGTGTTATACTGTTTAAAAGCGTCAAAAATGTAAAATTCGAAGCAAACAAAATAGGTTTCAAGATAACTTTTAAAATATTAAACAAAATTTTTTTTCTTAAGGGGGTATTCTAGTCTAGAAGCATGAATTTCAGGTAATTTTTTTAAGTGCCGTAAAAAAAAGGCAATCAATATTTTTACCATCCATTTTTTTATAAGTTATTTATTAACATTTCAAGAATACAGAAATAAATAAAAAATTAGCTGCTGATAAAGTGGGGGGGGGGTATCAAAAAAATGGCACGTGACCATGCCCACGATTCCAACCCTCCTAGCGATTGGAAAGAAAAAAATAAAAAAGATTATTAATCTAGAGTAATATCGCTATGGCATGAACTAGGGAAAAGTCAAAAAAAAAATTTTTCACAAAATGGCGACTGCCTGCAAAAAAAAATATTTTTTGTATTACTTTTTTTGACTTTTTCGAATTTTTTAAAAATAGTAAAAATTGAAATATGGGAATGACCGTAGTTCATGGCATAGCGACATTACTCTAGATTAATAATTATACCATTATGGGAATCGTTCTCAAAATAAAATAAAGATAAAATCTTCGTGCGGTGTGAGTTCGAAATGGCTCCTATAATATATACACGGAAAAAAAAAATTGAAGCAGCCACATGATTTTCATGTTGTAGGCAATAATAGTTAAAACAACAATAATAATGATATAATTATAATAATAATAATCTATAATATTATTAAGAGAATAAGGAAAATTTTGTGGCCAGTGTATTTATGGGATAAAATGAGTTTTTGCTTAGAGTTGTGCCTTTTCAAGGTTTCATATCATTCTCACCAATAGTCAATTTATTATAATAAGAATTTAGGCTGCATTCGAAAATGCTCTGTGTCTAGATACATAATGAAGAAACGATTATTATTATTATTATTATTATTATTTATTATTCAATTATTTTATTTTTTTTTTCCGCGTAAGATTCAAACCTATATATTGTGGGAACTATTCCTATGCTATTATGGGAATGGTTCCCATAAATTATGGAAACCATTCCTATAATAGTATAGGAATGATTCCTATAGCATTATGGGAACCATTCCCATAATATTATAGGAATAGTTTCCATAATATTATGGGATTAGTTCCCATAACGATATAGGAATAGTTTCTATAATAGTATAGGAATTTTTCCTATAGCATTATGGGAACTATTCCCATAATGGTATAGGAAAAGTTCCCATAATTTTCTTTCCCCGTAATCAATTATTTTTTTTCAAACTCACGCGTTGAATACACCAATGTCGGTTGGAAATAGTTTGCTAAATTTTTCAGTTGAATTTTTTGGGATTGAATAAGACCTCGTATAAAGAAATAAAAATCTCGATTTTCGGTGAAATCTAATTTCTATTTACATATTCGAACGATACGTCACTCGGTTAGTCAATCGATTACTATTCATTAACAGGCTGAATTTATCAATTGTTAAATTAAATAAGTAGTTACATTTTCAAGTGAATAATATTCAATCTTAACTTAAACATTTGACATCATTGTCTGAAATTATTACATGTATCAATATGATGGAATTATTGTACTAAAAAAAAATACGACAGTTAAAGGCAAAGTCATGAAAATAATTTTGAATCCGATACTAGAAGCAGAATTACAAGCGTCCTTGTCACTGCAGACAAAACAGGAATTTTCAGCTTTATCATTGCAGAATTTTTCATTTATCTTTGCACATTTTCTGTTGACTATTTCCTCATCTCCTTCTGTAAAAATGAATAAGTTGTAGTTTGGAAAAAAACAATATTAATTGCATATGCACAAGTTCTTCAAGTGAGTGTAATAACTAATTTTACTTTACCTTTCTTGATATGCTTAATGCACTCCCAAGCACCATCAGCACGAAGATCTACTGAACGTCTAAATCGAATTTTTTCTGAAGCTATCCTAGTCACTGAACTAGTATTTAAAGTAGAATTTGTCGTAGAAGATGCAGTAGAATTTATAGTCGATTCTGTCGCAGAAGGTGTAGTAGAATTTATAGTCGATTCTGTCGTAGAAGATGTAGTAGGTTGTGAAGTCGATTCTGTCGCAGAAGGTGTAGTAGAATTTGTAGGAGAAGATGTAGTAGAATTTGTCGAAGATGTAGTAGGTTTTGTAGTCGATTCTGTCACAGAAGGTGTAGTAGATTCTGTAGTAGAAGCTGTTGTTAAAGGTGTAGTCGATTTTGTCGTAGAAGCTATCGTTGATTCTGTAGTAGAAGTTGTCGTAGAAGGTGTAATTGGAGCTGCAGTTGAAGTTGATAATGTAGTAATTACAGAAGATCTTGTAATATTACATATTGTAATTAAATCTTAATATTACCTATAGTAGTTGAGTTCATTAAAGGATTTGGTGTAGTACTATTGTCTTCACCACATGTGACCAAAAGAGTCGTCGAAAGGTCAGACCAACATTCACCATCACTATTAGATTCGCACTGGTAACACTGTAATGACGTTCCTACAAAATTTTATAAAAATTTTAAACAGTTTAATAGGTATACATTTCATGTTTTCTTCAACATATTGAAAGTATATCAGTAGAATAATTATTTGAAGAAAACAATCTGATGCTCAATCATCACTATTTAATATGAAATAGAATTATTTTACACACTGAAAAAAAAATCAACTTAAATCAAGACAAAAAATTAGAAAAACGGTAGACCCTGAAGGCCATCCCTGCAACTTCCCGCTAGTTCCATACCTAGTTACTTAAAATTGCACTCATGATGTTTTTGAGCTCTCCGAGCTCAAAAATACAGTTTATGTGTTATTTTGAACTCTTCGAGCTCAAAAATCTGATGACAGTTTCATAGAACAATATTTTTTAAATTTCCAAACCGCAATAACTTTTGAATAAATCAACCGATTTTCACGCGGTTGGCGGCATTCAACGCAGTTTTTTCAGCCTTATTAGGAATTTTTTAGTTTAAATTGATTGAAATTGGAATTTTGGAGTAATTCCGAAAAAACACTTTTTTCGGTTTTCTTTCGTTCACGATATCTCTCGAGCGAATCAACTGATTTTGACCAACTTGGGGGCGATCGACGTGGTTTTTTGATGTCCAAAGCTAATATTTTTGAAATTGATCGGTAAAGCCGTTTAGAAGTTATTCCAAAAAAACCACTTTTGAAAAAATTTTTCTTCTTATTTTTTTTGAGACTTCTTAAAATCTATTGGTCTGAATTGGTTCAAATTCACAGGAAATCTAACTTTGAGGGAACTCTTTAGAACGCCGTTTAGTAGGTTCCGATCGGTTTAGTTGTTTAAAAGTTATAAGCGATTCACACACACACACACACACACACACACACACACACACACACACACACACACACACACACACACAGTCGTCACATCGGTGCTCACATATGGAATATCCATTTGGGCAGACGCGCTGGAGTTGCAAGAATCATGGAGAAAAGCTGGACCAGTATATCGACCGAGCGCTGTAAGACTAGCCAGTGCATTTCGAACTATATCAGAAGTAGCAGTGTGTGTCATTTCCGGAACTTTGCCGCTCAGAGTCCTAGCTGAGGAAAGACGGAACCTTTACCAACGAAAGAGGTCAACCACACTAACTGCCGAGGAACTCAGAGCTGAAGAACAGCATCGCACGATGGCAATCGCAGTGGGACGCCGCGACAACAGGAAGATGGACACACCGTCTCATACCGAAGATCGACGTTTGGCTAAACCGGAGTCATGGCGTGGTCAATTACTATCTGACGCAGATGTTATCAGGACATGGATGTTTTCGGACGTATCTTCACCGCTTCAAGCATGATGATTCACCGGAGTGCCCGTCCTGCCCAGGAATCAATGAAGACGCGGAGCACGTTTTCTTTGAATGTCCACGATTTTACCCACAGCGAGATGAGCTGGAGATGATCCTGAAGAAGAAAATCCAACCAGAGACAATAGTAGAAGCAATGCTGTCATCAGAGGCTGCCTGGAACGCCACAAACAAGTTTGTCACGGGAGCCCTCTCAGACCTGCGATCCATAGAAAGAAGAAGAGCGAATGACGCCAATTAGAAGGAGGAAAGAATAACACCATAGCCACCAGAAGAAAGAGCAGTAGCTAGATCCTCCCCTCACGAAGTAATGCCCGACGGCGGTTCCCGTAAGGGATAAGAGGAAAGAGGAAAAGGGGTTTAGGGTTTAGTGGGTAGGGGTGCTAGCGTCGAGTTTTAGTAGGACGCTGCGTCGAATCGCCACATATCCAGGCCAAACAGCTATGCCTAGAACCCGTAAAAAGGATCCCCCCCCCCGAGTCAAAATTTAAATCGTAGATTCAACGTATTGAACGTTCAAATCGTAGGTTGAGCGTATTAGACGTTGAAAACGTAGGATCAACGTATTGAACGTTGAAATCATCATTTGAACGTAATGAACGTTAAAGACGTATGTTGAACGTATTATTTAACGTATTATAAATGTGAAGAGAACCAATAATGGCTGAAAAAAGTAATATTAAAACTACTCAAATAACTACAGATTTTTAATTTTCTTAGCGGAAAGTTAAAAATTGTAATTTTTTTTTGTAAAAATTCAGTGGTATAAAATTTTATAAAATCATCTAAAACGTTATCCTGTTATATACAGATTTATGAGGCCATTTTTGGTATAAAATCTTATGAATGATATTTCATAAAGTTAAACATAATTTTGGAAACCATTCCGAGGGTAAAAATTTCGATAAAGCATTTCTCTCTAAAAAATGGTAAATTTAAGCTAAAGAAGTGTAAAATCTCTCTAACAGATTGTATTAATTATATATTGTATTTGCAACTGTATACTTATGTGACCCTGTTAATGGCCATTGGCTGTTGGGTCTTTTTTAAAGAAATAAATAAATAAATAAATAAATAAACAGAACTGAAAAAAAATTTTTTTTGTCTATTTACGTTTCAAACATGTGCAGTTATTTCAGTAGTTTTAATATTACTTATATCATTCATTATTGGTTCTCTTTACATTTATAATACGTTCGATACGTTCAACATACGTTTCAAACGTTTATAACGTTCAATACGTTGATTCTACGTTTTCAACGTCTAATACGCTCAACCTACGATTTGAACGTTCAATACGTTGAATCTACGATTTAAATTTCGACTCGGGGGCCCTTATAATAAAAAAAACACACACACACTACATATTAAAATCCAATTGATCAATATTCTAGTTCGATTGATAGAAACCGATCAATTGAATCCAAGTGATAAAATTTTGATTAAGTTATTTTGAGTGAGATAAATTTTATTATGAATGACTGCGTAACTCTGTTGGCAGTTATTTCGAAAGATTTTGTAATTTAAATAAGTCACCTTTATGAACGTTGCAAGTAATAAATAAACTAATAAACACCAATGAATTTAAATTAATCCGACTATTAAACATTGTTGAATTTATTAATACAAATACAGAAAATAAACAGTACAATGCAGTGCTGAAGTTTTCAATGAAATGGTCGTAATACAAGTTTGATCAAAGCTTTTGTATGAACTATTACTAAAAATAATAACCACTGCCAAGTACGAAGACGTATGCAACGGCTTATCACAACTTACTGACGATCAATAATATATCAAAAGTTAACTGATTTAGTGGATCTATTTATGATTCATTGATTATCAGGAGCATTGTGTTTGCTATTTGATAACTATTGTATATTGTAGCAAGGAATAAAACAATACGTTTTGTTATTTAAGTTCAATTATAGGGTGAATTTTGCGTGTACAAGCATAGTAAGGGGTAGCATTGTCCGCAGTCGTAAATCGTAAATCATTTTTTAGGTACTTCTCTTGATTTAAATTTCTAGACCGATCTATTGTAAAAAATTTATCTCTTTTAAGTTTAAATTAAAAAATGCATCAATTAGCACCAATTAAATCTAATTTAAATCGACTCCACAAATGTATTAAATATCTTGTAATTGCGTTTTGTTCTAATTTTGTAATTTATAATGATGAAATGTACATTTTTGAGCTTTAATGACTTGAATTTAAAAATTTTGTATAGAATTTTTGCTATTATCTTCAGAAAGCCTGATTAAATCATGAAAAACTTGAATATATTTTTTCAATACAGTCGAATCGCGTTATGAGTCCGGCTTGTTTTCTTTGTTTTTTAACCAGATTCGCGTTAATAAGAGAGAGACACAAGGAGGGCTCATAACGCGACTCGACTGTATTTTACTTCAAAATATCACAAAATGATAAAACTATCGTATTAAACAATGTGCTATATAGCCATATGGCTAAAGGTAAAACGATAGAAATTAACTGAAATCCATTGCTTGAAGCAGAATTACAGCCATCGTCGCTGCAGGCAAAACAAGAGCTTTCATCACTGGTGTTGCAAAATGATTCACTCTGCTTTGCACATTTCCTGTTGACTATTTCTTTATCTCCTTCTGCAAAAATCACTCTATTGTAGTTTTCAATGGTAAAATTAATAATAGCTATGCCTTTACAAATAGTTTAAGGGGGTATTCTGGTCTAGAAATTTGAAAAAATCGATTTTTTTCATATTTTCAAAGCTTAACCCTTTAGAATATGTCTTTAGGAGGATTTTAGAAAATTCAAATCATTTTTGGAGATATGGCTGTATTGTCGACGTGGCATCTAAACTGGCTCGGCCGGAACTAGACTGCGAGAAACCTTACGCGAAACTTTAAATGCATTTTTCTTCAAATTGTCTTTTTTAAAACTATACACACGATTTCTCAAGTTCTACTGAACCGAATTACTTGAAATTTGGTGAAAGTCTTCTTTATATAGACTTCTCTATTGCATGAACTATCCTCATCCCCAAATTTTTATGTTGACTATTTTTAACAAATTCGGAAAACAAGAAAAGTGATACAAAAATAAATTTTTTTTTTCAGGCAGTTGCCATTTCGTGAAAAAAAATTTTTTTTCAACTTTTTTTTAGTTAGAACGGTATCAATATTACTTTAAATTAATAATCTTTTTTTTTTCAAGATTGCTAGGAGGGTTGGAACCATGGGTATGGTCACGTGCCTATTTTTTGAAACCCCCCACTTCATTAGCTGCTAACTTTTTAAATTTATAACTTTTTTAGGTAGATTTCATTAGGAATCGAATGATTGCATTAGTTTTCATGGTGAAATTTTCACCTGATTTTGCTATCATATATCATAGTTAGTCAAGTAAGTTCCAAAAATACCATTGGTTAAAAAATTTGTATATGAATGTATACGATATAACGCGGCTTGTCACGACGATAGCGTTAACAATTCTTAAAGGATCCTAGTGAAACTCAACATACTTATTTTGTAGACGATTACGAAGGCCAAGTTCAAATATAAGCTCAATCGGTCAATTAGTTTGGAAATGACAGCATTAAAATTTTTGTTAATTTGAAAATTTCATACTCTCACTACTTCTTCTTCAAATGACTTTTGAACGCGTCGATATATTCGATTTTCGTAAAATGCATCTGAAATCTGAGAAATTAAGCTTTAATTTACATGTTTACATGTTTTTCTAAAAAGCGAAAAATATCCATCTTAGTATCATTTTTAAGAAATTTTACTCTAGCATGTGGACTCTTGTCTTCACAAAACTGACTGAAAAGTACTGAAGTACAGTAATTTTTTTTCTTTTTTTATTGAACGTTGTTGACTTAACAATAAACTTTAAGAGCTCAAAAGTTTTAAAAGGAAGTTTAATTATTAAAGGAAGTTCAAAGTGAAATAAAATGAAATCTACTTCCATTTCGGATGTCGAATAGCCATATTTTTTTTCTGTATTCTATAAATATTAATAAATATCTTATCAAAAAATAAATAATAAAACATTGATTGCCTTTTTTTTACGGCACTTCAAAAATTACCTTAAATCCAAGTTTCTAGACTAGAATACCCCCTTAGGTTTTTGGAATAATTTAATTCAATTTACCTTTGCTTATAAGTTTGACACATTTCCAACTATCATCAGCACGAAGATCTGCTAAATGTCTTAGTTGGTTTCGAAGTAATGATGAAGCTACAATTGCAGCTGTTTTTATTGTAGGAGATGCAGTTGTATTTGTTTGAGGAGCTAAAGTTGTAGTTGGTCTAGAAAGTGTAGTTGCATTTGATGAAGGAGCTAAAGATGTAATTGTTGTTGGAAGTACAGTTGCATTTGATGGAGGACCTACAGATGTAGTTGGTGTTGGAAGTGCAGTTGCATTTGACGGAGGAGCTACAGATGTAGTTGGTATTGGAAGTACAGTTGCATTTGACGGAGGAGCTACGGAAGTTGGTGTTAGAGGTGCAGTTGCATTTGTTGTAGGAGCTAAGGTTGGAGTTGGTCTGGTTGCTATAGTTGGTATAGTAGATGGACGTGTGGTCGGTTTAGTAGTTAGAAATGTAGTTGGTTTAGTAGTACCAGGTGAAGTTGGTCTCGAAGTTGCAGTTGAAGATGACGTAGGAACTCCAGAAGATGCTGTAATCGTACTTACTGTAGTTGGGTTGGTTGAAGAATTCGGCGTGGTATTAATTCCTTCACCACATGTAACCAAAAGAGTTGTCGGAGGATCAGTCCAACAGTCACCATTACTATTAGATTCGCATTCGTAGCACTCCAATGATGTTCCTACAAAATTTATAAAAATCAAAAAATAATTAAAAGTTTACATAGAATTCATCAAATAATTGGTAAAAATAAACAATTTAATGCTTAAGTATAGTCTAGTTGATTATTTTCAAAAATTCAATTTTTGCTTTTATATTTTTCGAATGAATGAGTCTAAAAATTTCCGACAATGTATTAACTGTTTCGGGCAAAGGCTCGCAAATTCAATTTTGGTACGATTTTTTATGATTTTTTATTTAAAGAAACTTAAAACGCGTTTTTCTCAAAACTAAGTTTTCATGGACGGCTAACACGATTTCTTTTTACAAATAACAACGAAAAAAAAAACAATTTTTTCAATATTTTGTTACGTGAAATTATTAAAAATTAATATCATTAGTTTATTTTGTAGCAATTGTCATATAGGATCTACAACACTTCGATTTTTTTGTTTCGGATAAGCCGTTGCCGAGAAATCGTGTAGGAGTCGACCTGCCTCAAAATTATGGTGTTCCGTGTAAGTACGAATTTTGTGCAAAAAAACTGAAAAAAATTAATGAAAAAATTTTTATTTTTGTTATTTAACACTTCGTTTATCATTCCTAATAACTTTTATAAACATATCTTTCATAGCAAGCTCACGAGAAATTCAAAAAAATAACTAATTTTTTTAGCGAACTAGACTGCATCCTTAATAAGAATTAATGAAAGTGATACTTTAAATGATCGTTAACTTCGGCCTTAAACACAAAATTTGTGTTCAATTTTTTTTTTATTCAGTTTTATATATCTTAGAACAAACAATTAATTAAAATTTGAATTTGATTAATAAATGGATTTATGAGTGTTTGGATACCGAACTTTGATGAAATTTTTTCATTAACAAACAAATTACCTCTATGAAAATTGAAAATAACTAACAAACTCATGAACATCGATAATCTTAAATTAATCCGACTAGTAATCATTTTTAAAATTTATTGTAATAAAGTACACAAACTAAAAAAGTACAATACAATTCTGAAGTTCCTAAGAGAATGATCAAGTTACAAGTCTGATCAATGTTTTGACTTAAACTATCATTTGAACAATAACCACTGTCAAATAGAAAGACGAATTAACGGCTTATCATAAGATTTACAATCAATAATACATCATAAATTTATGGATTTAGTGGATTTATCAATGATCCATCGATAGTCAAAGTAATCGATACTCATCTAGGGAATCATTCGAACGTCCATTCTGACCAAAAATAGTATTTCCAATGACAGTACTACACATGGAAAAAAAAATAAATAGGGCGTACAATGTAACATGAATCAGTCTAGGTGGGTCACCATGAAAAAATCATATTGCGATAACATGGGTCATGTTGTTGCAACATGAAAAAACCATGTTCCAGAAACTTGACTGTGATGTTGCTACACTGTAAAAAAAGCGGTTAATAATAGAGTTTGACACTATTCTGTTTTAAATAAAATTTACACCGGTATAGGTGGTGTCATTCTCGAGTGTTAAAATACCACTGTTAAATCAGTGTAAAAATTAAAATATCACAGTAAAAAATCGGGAGTGTATTCAGAGTGCATTTTCATACCTGTCACTCGGAATACTGGAGGGATAAAGAAACAAAACACTCCGCGATCGGAATAAGTCAGGAGTAAGTCAATTCAGCTGTAATAAAATTCACATGCCAAATTTTTTTTTCTTCAGCATAAAAAAATTTCAATTGTGAAAAAAATCAAATTTTCAAAAAAATAAAAATTTCAAAGATAAATTCACATTTTCAGAAATTAAAAAAAAAAAAATTAAATTCCCGAAAATTTTCCAAAAAGTTCTAATTTTGAATTAAAAAAAAAAAATTGAAAAAAATTTTAATTAAAATTAAAAGTTTTTGTTTCAGCTTAACAAAAATCCAGAAATTCCAAAAAGTTCAAGTTTTCAGTCAAGCCATGTCAAGCCATAGTAACATCACAATCAACTTTAGGGAATATGAAAAAAAACTAATTGATTCAAGAAACATATTTTTTTTAATTTGACCCTTGTTTCGAGATATTCAGTTTGAATTAATTCAACAAACTAATCCGCGAATCAAGAAGATCTAACTCTTGGATGACGAAATCAAGTCCTGGATTCGAACAATTTTACAAATTCAACTCAGCTTTGGGGTGTTTTTTTATGATTATTTTTATTTTTTCACTTCCAACACAAAGTTGTTGGAAATTTGTAACAAACATTCTCTGATAATTTGCACCCTGAATATTAATTTTAAGTATTTCCTCAAAGTGTGGAAAGATTTTCTATTTAAAATACACCTAAACTTTGATTGTTAACTTCCCGCTAAGAAAATTGAAAATTTTTGAAAATCGGGGTTATTGGTTTTACCCCGTTTTTCAAAAATCGAGTTTTCATCAGATCTCGGAGTTTTGAGATCCTAGGAAGCTTTCTTAACGATTTTTACGGTGGTATATTTGTATGTATGTATGTATGTATGTATGAATGTGTGTGTGTGTGTGTGTGTGTGTTTGTTTTTTTTTTTTTTACTTAACGAAGGTACGAAAA